GTGGCGACAATGCATACAAGACTACAGGTCCTTTTGGAGCACATGCTTGGACTCTGATCACGCGTTAGTGTATGTAGGGTTCGTCTTGTCATTTGGTGGGGTTCATAAGCGGCGTCATCTGAATGTAATAATAATATATTTATCCATATCTATGTTGGACACACCGATTTTACAGTCATGGACAAGTATTATACAAATTACGAAATTTTGCTAATGGTGATTGACAAAGTGACTGTCTTTTTGTCTTTAGTTTGTGGAAACAATCTGCTAATTAGTAATTGAATGGGGCAGATTAATAAATATGAAAATAATGTCTTCGCATTGACAAAAAAACCGACGTATATTTTGCGTGGATTACAAATACCTGTGAAAAAAATAAAGCATGAAATCACTTCCCCGTATAAATTTGCTGTGTATAGCATCGAATCTTATTCTTGAATACTAAACAAATTGGATGTTAATTGAATATAAGTGATACATTTGTATTGTTAAGCCAGCATTTTCCTCGTGAGTAACATCGGAAGATAATTGTAATCTATGCACACTAATATTTACAGACCTAAAGTTTGCCTTCACACCGGATTTGCAGTGTCAAATTATCAAGCTAGTTTTCCACTCATTGGAGCAAGTGCTTGTTTTCATAGATTTTGAGAACTTAAGAAAAAGGAGAGGAGTGTCACACCAACTGTTGTTGAAAATTACTGAGGCAATACCATCCGCTCTCGTGCTAGCAGAAGGTCTAAGGCTTTTAAATGCTTGTCCTATTGACTGACTGGTGAACACTATGCTCCTGAGGGGGGGGGCGATAAGAAGTCCAGTTTCAACAAAGGTGTGTGCTTCTAAACTAAAGTTCGCAAACCACCCACTGAAAAGTTGACAAACGGTAGCAGGCTTATTGCAGATTACCTTGTTGTGGAGTAAGCTGGGGATATCCCTCGTCGATCGCATTCGTTTTTTAAGAAGTGTCGTGAGGTTATGAACTAAAGAGGTACTTTCAAGTGCACTTAACAATTCGTTGAGTTCATCTTGAGGACATAGGCGTTTGATAGGTTCAAGTGACTCATGTATTGAGTGCAGTGATGATATATGCTTGGTGGAAAAGTACTATTTCAAACATTTCCTTAACTTATTGGTGTACACCCTTGGAATGTATTCAGCTTGGCGTGCACTTAATCTTACTATCATCTCAGTTGCAACAGTATCTATACACAGAGTAACATCCCAGTAAAATAGGGATACTGAGGCTACACTGAGCATTCCAGATGGATATCATTGACTGTCATGACTTCAGATAATAACCATCCGTGAGCTCTCAAACGACTGAGGGAGGTCGAGTGAAGTGGCTTGATGAGTGTCGTATACTTTCTCGGCAATCGCTTGAAAAACACCCTCGAAGATGAATGAACAACTTGGCAGCTAGTGCGAGGTTGAAATCGGACGTGAACAAATTATGCAGACAGTCGATTTGGTGAGCGAAAATAATTTCAAAGATCAGCGATGCCGTCTTATCCTAATAAGTTGATCACTGCTAAAATCTCGTTTGACTTCGTTATCGAAATCTAAAAATTGCGTCAAAAATATAAGTGAGGTACATGTTGTAAAGCCATCTCTGTACCGACCAAAGCCGGCGTGCTGTTATCTGAAGACAGGAAGCCAATCCATGCGTTTCTCATGTATAGCTGACCTTCACTTCGCTGAGTTACACGCAGTCGCCAAATCCTCCGATGGTAGCGAAATGAGAGATATTTGGCATGACGTCTACTGTACTATTCAATGACAAGAACATCAAGATCTCAGAATTGTCTAAACAATGCAATGGGCTTGTTGAACAGATCAGATAGGGGTCCAGTACATAACAAGTACTATAGAAGAAAATTATCAATCAGAAGCCAGCCCTTGGGTAGTAGCTGCGAGTCAATTGGAACATCCCCAACAAGATAATTTAGAAATTCTGTCAGCAAGAATCACACGCCGGAAAATTCACCAAATAGTCTAGGGTCATAGCAAGTTCAACTCATTCAAACATAATCGATGTCGTATAACAAACGATTCGCATTAACCTCACACAACCGACTATAGAAGCAATAAAACTGGAAAATTGATCAGGGAAACTCACAAAAGATGAGGATTGGGTCAACATATGGTATGCAAATACATCAAGGATGATACATAGTCTTGGAGGAAAGAAAATTTTGAGCACAAATTTAGTTGAAACAAAGAAGTAATATGATGGTTCAGGAGGTGTCATTCTGTTACACTTTCATTGTTCGTAAGCTTTGAAATCTACACAGATGTAGCTCAATAACCAATAAGTGTCATCCATATCAAATCTGATATTGATTTTTCTACAGAGATATTTGATGTTTACGTGCTTTGAGCAGTCTTTTTCAATTATAAAAAAATCGCTAAATTTAATCCGTTGCATTTTTACCGAAATACACTTCAGGTTCATTTTTATTTGAACACGCCAAAAAGTAGTATTCGGAACATTTCTGGTTAAAAATGAAAGCTCTTACAAGCATCGTGTTTCGAATTGTTGATCACTTTTATCTTTTATGCCTCTGATTCCCATGAAAACACATTATTTCAAGATTACAGCCTCAAAGTTTCAGTAGCACTGACAGTATTCTTTTGTGAGAGTTAACGTTGCCAGCCGCGTGGTCAACATTTGCCTGTTTTCGGGTTTACTAGCAAAAAGCGAGGTCTTTGAGGTCTTCTCCAAGGAGAATTATCCACCGCCGAATCGTTGATTGCCCCATTGAAACTTTATTGACGCGATAATTGTGCAAATTATAAAGTCAAGTTTTATGTCAAAATCTGCTGAATACATCGCTTTCAGAAGTGACTACTGTTTGATCTTACAATCAAATGGCATGACGCTTAGTGAAATTCATGGCTTAACTGCTGAACATTTATGACAACCGTACTTTATGTCATTATTTTTACTATCAAAGCTTGATTCTACACAGTATTTTGCTACAAGTATGGAATTTTCAGCATGTCATATGAGTAGCTCAAATTAAGCAGAACGGACATTGATATCGAGATGCGTCGTCCGCGACTCGACCACGGACAATGTGCACGGTAATCATTTCAAATTAGTGTGTCATACTAAAGATGGGAAATTTGTTTCGTGTGTCGGAGAGAAAACGAAGTTCCGTGTGTGCGTTTTACCAATATTAGTAGGCGTTAGAACTCATTTGGAACTGATTCTGTTGTGACTGGTGTGTATGCCAATTTTCACTATGTTTCAGTGAAGAAATATATGTTCATCTGTATACAGTTAGTTGAGGACTAGTGGTGACAGAATGAACAGATATGAGCAAATTGAGAATTTATCGATCAATAGTCTCCGTTCTTCTGGCTATTACACTTTATTCACTTTTACTTCAATCCTTTGATGATGGTAAAATGCTGTAATTTTATTGAGATCTGAATTAATTGTTATGTTTTAATTGTCGCTTCACCGACAACCAAAGTATGAACTCATCGAAGTAATTAGGCGAAATCAGGTTCTAATGGAATGTGTTGCTGATTAAAAAAATTGTGTAGTTTTGTCGATTTATCAAGTGAAATAATCCGGCAGTTAGTATACAGTATTCCGTGTAGTGATTTCACTTGTGTTGTTAATTTCACAAACATCACGAAAACGGTGACTGATTGGAATATTTGATTTTACCAGGGATTGTGGAAATTCACGAGTACTCTCCATTTTCTATCACGGGATAAAGTTTTGCTGGTTAAAATAGGATTTTAATGAGTAGAGAATATTCTGGTATGTTGTTGCAATGAGTCTGAATGATTTTCAGTCAGAATTTCGAGAATGCCATCTCACGTCTGATTTCAAGATTGATTCAATGCGAGTCATTCTGACGAGGATCCGATTATTCATGAATCCTTCACCATGGTATACAGTCTACTTGACTATGAGTACTTCACAAGTTGTTTGGAGGAGGAATCATACATTCACGAACTTCGATTTACTGAGATGTTTACAGGCGTGGAACGGCCAATGTGAGAAGAATTGTCCTTCAGAATTCACTGTTTATAATCTGAGAATTAAACGTAAGATTTAGTTTTCCCTTGTGGTTTTCCTCCGAAGGTCATCAGGTTTTATCATTTATGGTATTGTTGTATCCATTTATGTATTGCGAAATACTTTCTGATTTCCATTCAGTATGAGGGAGTGAATTGTGAATGCAGACGTAAGAAGGCGTAGGAAATGTTAGGATTTCAAGGTGTCAGTGTATTGAACTTATTTGAATGAGAAAGCGAAACGAGTACTACCCCATATTTCATATTTGCTTTTTCTGTTACGAGTTCAGCTATGAATTGATGCTCCATAGTAACAAATCTTTATCTAAATCAGTTGTAATCCTGCCCTCAACATACTACGTGTCTCCTGCTATTCTGTACAGTACCTCCTCTGCAATTGACTTTGTACTGCCACAATGAAAATTTAGTTTCTATTATGTTGTTTCCCGTGTTTGAATTTTTGAATTGATATAATTTGTTTTTACTTCAG